AGTGGTAACCTAACGTGTTGTTGTGATGACGTAATCAAAACGCGGCGACAAGCACGGCGCGCGACCATGCTCGCGGCTGGCTCACAGCCAACATGTCTGCCGCTTGGAGATATTTCTAAATATCAGAGAAAGAGTAGCGGATTGCAATTTGTAAAACGTGTTCAGCGGACATTTCTCGAGTGGGTGTAACTGCAAAGAATTTCACCACTTCGGGATTACTCCACCACTTGAAATCAAAACACCCGGACAAATATGCGGAGCATGATCAACGTAACCCTGTTCTCTGACATTCGGTGATAGCCGAAAGGGCCTTTTTAACCATTTTCGGCCGATAATTTTCGGTGGCCGAATATTCGGTGCATCCCTAATGAAGATATATATCCATAAAGGAATGCACATTGGATGACATCTGATAATAAATCTACCCTGGTCAAAATGTGTCATCTGAAGCAACCACCTAATCCATTTGAATTCCAAGTTGTTGTTTTCTTTATTTTTACAAGTAGCAACACCAATTTATTCAGGTATTCATACGAAAAAGACACTTTATTATACATCTAGTTGAGTATACACCCATTAATATGCAGGGTATTTGAGCAATTCACCTAAAAGTGCTTCATTCCCACCTGTGGCTAATGAGCTTTCCTTCATTTATAGGCCACATGGGTCTCTTTTAAAGTAAGAACCTAATTTAAAGTCTCACATAAATGATCAAATAACAAGGTTAAGATTGAGATTACTTGAGCTGAAGTGGCTCCATTTTATGACCCATGTTTTCTTTGGAGAATTGATCTTCGGTCAGTTGGAACCCATAAGGAAAACTGACGGCGGAAATATGCAAATTAGCTCTTTATGACACCATTTTGTATAGACATCTGTCTCTACATACAGTACGTGACAAGTAGAATAAGGGACTCATGCTTTCTGTTGAGCCCTCGTGTGTCCTTTGCTTCTGGCTTTCAGTGTGACTCTCTTTGAGCCACGTCATCTCTGACTCTTTCTACTTTCATTTCCTCTTTAATAACCTTCTTCTGTCGCTCCTCCATCCATTCCCTCGTCCTCCGTCAATCCATCCGTCTCTACTCCATTTGGTGTTTTTATCCGTACGAACCGCTCCATACTTTTGTACAAATGAGTGTGATCATTCTTAAGGGCGAGGAGGGTTGCTGTATATGCTGCATACATATTGTGGCAGAAAGGCAGCACTCCAGCTTCCAATTAGAAAACGATGGAAGCAAATGTATGTTTAGACACTGTGAGCAACAACGTTTAAGAGGCTCTGTTATAATTTTTAGGGTTTTCTCTTTCCTGTAGTGTGTTATATAGGTTATGGTGCATGTAAATGGTCTGCAAAGGTTAAAACCCCAAAGTTCACGCCAGAGGCAGTTTCTCTCCTACACACTGCCTGAAACTCCTTTGTTTACTTCTATTGGCTACCGCTCCAACACATTGTACGTGTCTCTAAGCAGTTGACCAATCACAATTCGTTGCCGGCCAGCCAACCAATCAGAGCAGACTGGGCTCTGGTTTCAGACAGAGGGTGAAAAGAGATGATAACACAACAATCTTCATTGAAACCCGAGAGAAAACAAAATAAAATGTATCAGAAGCATCTTTGTTAAACCTTCCACTGTTTCAACAGTCACTAACTTTAGTTTGGTCGAATGTATCCCATAATTCACTTTCTCACGGCCCGTCCACACTACAGCTTCAAAAAAAGCTTGCCGGCGGGCGTGTCTGAAGCTCGACCAACAACCAATCACATGAATCTCCCGCCCCTGACACACAAGCAGCGGTTTGATTGGCTAGAGCTTGTACTGGCATATGATTTGATTGGCTGACGCTTCCACCGAAAGCTTCAGAAGCTTCAAAAGTTGAACATTGCTCAATTTCTGCAGCCTGAAACGCCAGGAAAGCTCCGCTCTGCTACCCACAATTCAGTTCGGCGAAAAGCGAGGCAACGTGACGTCACCCCATTCAAAGTGAATGGGCAGACGCGTTGGAAACCGTTTTTGAAGCTGTCGAAGCTGTAGTGTGGACGGGCCGTAATGCTCTCCTCGAAGCAACCGGACTCCATTGACAAAACGTTTATTTTTTCCTCACTGATTGTTGCAAAAACACTTGATTTAAACTGATGGACACAAAGCATTTATGCTGTAGCACCAAGCTACTTTTTTACTGCACAATGCAACATAACAAGTATATCCAACCTGTAAGTGTACACTACACAAACACACTCACACACACTCACACACAAACAGCCTATTCCACTGATTGAAAGTTGCTCGTGGTAATGTGCCAATAAATGTTGCAATGCGCCAAAAAAAGAGGCAGAAAAGAAGACTGCCAGCATGGAAACATGGATGTGAACAACATTGTTTTTAAATCCTTCCAAAAATCAACTCTGAAATGTATATTTTATGAGGAAGATTTTTTTTATTTCTG